CCCACGGCGGCAGACCCCGTCCCAGACACCGCCTCCCCCGGCTGCCCTCACCGCCGCTGCCTGCGGGTGTTCTCTGGGCTTGGATGAAACCCCGGGGGGGCGGATCACACAGGTTTGGGTCACCCTTGACTGTGTGTGGCACGGGGGCATATGGGGGCTCAGTGGGGAGGGCCGGGGGTCTCCCCCCGGGGGTTTTATAGAGGGGAATAGCCCTGGCTGGCAGCTTGCTGGGGATAAGCAGCGCTGGTTTAGACTCCCCAGAAATGCTGCTTTGGGCACCCCAAAAACAACTGCTGCCAGTGGCTGCCTGCCCCATCCCCCGGTGGGGCCGGGACCGGAGGAGCTGCTGGTCTGGGTGTTGCCATCCCACCGTGCCCGCAGGACACAGGGCATTGCATGCCCCCCCTGCTCCTCCTCCCCGTGTGGATTTGGGGTGCTGACACGCAGGGCGCAGGGAAAGCAGGAGGCAGGGAGCCAGCAGGTCCTGAGCCCAAGGCGGGTGTTTCATTGCCATCGCCCCCCCGCCCTTTACCACTCGCTCAGGCGCAGGATGAGGGTCTCCCCGTCGCGAGGTCTGTAGTCAGCGATACCTGTGGAGGGAGGGACAGCAGCCCCGGGTGGGAGAGCGGCCGTGGGGGCCCCCCCGCCACCTCCTCTGGGACCCTCACCCATCACTCACCCATCTGCAGGCTGGTGCTGGGGGCAGTGAGGAGCTGCCAGTAGTTCCGCTTCTGCTGCCGGGCCTCCAGCCCCAGCACGCTGCTCAGAAAGGGGCCCTGGGGGGTGTCCTGGGTGTCAAACCTGGTGGGTGGGAGCAGGGGGGAGCTGCGGGTCCGGCCCCAGCACTGCCAGCAGTGGGGCAGATCTGCTGCCAAGGGAGCCAGGTGCTGGGGACTGGGGTGAGCCCGTGGCATGGGTGCAGGGCACGTGGCCACCCTGGGTGTGACACCCAGGAACCCCAGAGGGTCCCCCCAACCCTGGCACGTGGGTCCACATACGTGAAGTCGTGGGGTTCCTGCGTGGTGGCTGCCCTGAGTACATCCAGGAGGGAGGCGCCAGCAGACACGGGCACCGGCTGGTCGTAGAGCCGGTGCTGGGGACACGACGGCTTGGGGCACTCCACCACCAGCCGCACCGTCATGTTCCCTGGCATCTCGGTCAGCGGCTCAGGGCTGATGGGCGACAGCGTGTCTGTGAGAAGGAAACCACCATGGCACTGACAGACACCAAGCCACCACCACGGTGGCATCTGTGCCAATGCCATGTCAGCACCCCGCCACGTCCCTGCACCACCCTGGCTCCTACCCAGCTCCTCCTGGCAGCGCATGGAGGCGATGTCCAGGTACGAGCGGCCGTGCAGCACCGGCAGCACCTGGGCCATGGTCGCGGCGGTGCTGAATGCGTCCAGGTGCCCCAGCAGCGCAGCCATGGCCCGGCTATATGCTGGCTGCGTCCGGCACGTGTCAGTAGCGATGAAGACCTGGGAGCGGGAGGAAGGAAGGTGGTGGGACAGCAGCCCGAGGTGGGAAGCAGGTCAGGTCCATGCCTGCCCAGCCCCTGCCCCGGGGTGGGTGCTGAGCCCAGGCACCCACATTTGCACCTGCACCCACACACATGCTTGCACCCACTGTGAACCCACACACCTACACCCACCCACACCCCACCCGAGACCCCCCCTGCACATGACAACCACCTGCATGGCCCACGGGGTGCTGTAGATGTTGCCGAAGAAGCCATCCTGGCCCTGCGCCTCGACCATCCTCCTCCTCACCGCACGCGTGGCTGCCCCCAGCTCCGCCGACAACCTGGCCCCCACCAGCCGCTCCCGCTGCAGGCAGGCGAAGGCCAGCGCTGCCACCGCCTCCGTGTCTGCAGGAGGGACACGGTGTCACCCCATGCTGCCACATGCTCCCCCTGGGGTGCCACTGCCCTGCCCATCCCCGGGGACCCTTACCCACGGCGCTGCCGCTGGTGTGCCCAAACCTGCCATGGTGTTCAGCCACCAGGAGCCGGCGGATCACCTCCTCCCTCACCCGCTTGCGGTGGACGCACAGTGCCAGCACGCCCAGGCTGTACTGGTAGTAACTGGTGAGGGGGTGGCCATGCCGCCGGGAGCCTAGGGACAAGGTGGCGTGTCACGGGGGTAAGCCATTGGCCCAGTGGCTGGATGGGTGCTTGCTGTGGTTGCCCTGTGGGGATGCTCTCACCTGCCCAGTCCTCCTCCAGGTAATACTTCAGCCATGTCACCAGTGAGCGCTGGGGACCAGGCTCCGGTGGGGGACAAGTGGCCCGTAGCCCCAGCAGGTACAGAGCCAGTCGCCCTGTCTCTGGCCACTCCACCTCGGCGCTCCTGCAAACCACCGCATCAGCACCCACACCACTCCGGGGGGGCTGTCACACCACCAGCGCAGGGCACCCATTGTCCCTGTGGGACACCCACGTACGTGCTGTGCTGGGTGGCCGCAGCGTCCCTCTGGGGATGGCTGTGGGGCGCAGAGTGGGGCCGGCTGGCTGCCTGCAGGCTCCTGCGGGGACACGGTGCCAGCGGGCCACCGGGGCAGTGTGGGGGACAGGGGATGGCCCCCAGAGACACGTGGGGGAACCCGGGGTGTCTCCCCCCGGGACCTACCGGCCATAGCGGTGCTGGAAGGCATCCTGCAGCCGCGCCAGGTACCGCTCCTCCCCACGCAGGTCGTGGTCGGTGCCCAGGCGAAGGGCCAGGTAGACGCTGGGGTCGGGGTCCCGCGCTGGGTCCGCTGACAGCCCCAGCAGCCGGGCGCTCAGCGCCTGCACTGCTGCCACCTCCCCTGGGGCTTCTACCCACCAGAGCCCCGGGGAGAGGGAGCAGAGGGTGACGGGGGGCAGGAGGGGGCCGAGTCCACCCCAAGCACCAGCCCTGCGGCATCTGCAGCCCCTGGCACCGGTTCCACATGACGATGGAGACCCAGCACCCCAACTCTGCCGCACACCCCGTGCCCCCTGAGTCCCTCCCTTGAGTCACAAAACCTCAAGTCTGCTCCCCAAAAATGAGGAATAAACTAAATAAGACATGACATGAAGTGGGAGCGTGGGGAGCTCAAGGCCTGGGCACAGCCACCCTCCCGCTGTGCCCGTGGGGCTGGGGTGGCACCCCTGTCCCCAGGGACCCTGCCAGACCTTGCGGGGGGCAGGTGCAGGAGCAGGAGTGGGGCAGGTTGGCTCTGGGCTTTGGGCAGGGGAAGGGGGCACAGGAATAAGGCTTAACCCTGGTGGGTGGGGAGAGCTGAGCCCTGGAAAATTCATCACCAGAAGGGTTTCACAAGGCCAGCGTCCTCCCCAGGGCTGCGGCAGAGGGCTGGAGCACGGGATGGTGCCTGTTTCCCCCAGCCCCACTCCTCGAGGACCCCTCAGCCACCACAGCCAGTTCAGGGACCCGCTCCGGGCACTGTCTCACGCAGGCAAGACCCCCAACTCCAGTGGGGTCCCCCGGCGGGACAGGGGTTCTGGGGGCTGCAGGCGGTGGTCAGCTGCCATACTCACCGCAGAGCTGGGCAGGCAGGACCGCAGCCTGCAGCAGGATGAGGAGCAGCCACATGCCAGAGCGGGGTGGTGGCACGGCACAGCACGGCTGTCAGCCCGGCAGAGACAGGCAGAGCCCAGCCGAGCCGAGCCAGGACACCGCCAGGGACGGGAAGGTGTCACAAGAGGCTGTTTCCGCACACTGGGGCCAAGTCAGCAGAAATGGGAAAGGACTTTGGAGGCAAAGCAAAGGGAAGCGGGGCCACCCCGTGCCGGGGAAGAGATAATGTGCTCACTTCCACTCTTCCCTCCTGGCTCCCTGACCCGGCACGAACCGCACAAGCACCGGTCGCCCTGCCCTCTGCACTGTGGCTGGGGCAGCAAGACCCAAACTGCTGGCATTTGGGTCAAAATCACTGGTCAAATTTAGCCCCCAGAAAATAAAAAGAGGGGATGAAACCCACGGAAATCCTGCAGCCTCCTTTGAAAGCAGTAACTGTGCTACTCACCCAGAGCTGGGTTTTTATTGAAAATGAGGATTAACCAGCTCAGCTTGGCAGACAAGGGGTGGATATGAGGGTGCTGAACCCTAAAAGGCAAATCCCTGCAGCCAAGATGAGGATGGTCCTGGGGCACTGCTGGGTCTCAGTTCTCTGTCTGCTGGGGGTCACCTAGGCTTGGAAGAGGGTGAAGGGCCTCCCACGCCCCAAAAAACACCTGCAGCTGGCAGGGGCTGAGGACAGGGCTCCCGGCCCCCACCACCCCCCTGGGACACGGTGAGGACCCTCACAGGGCACATCTCAGAATCACAGAACCATATTGGCTGGAAAAGCCCTTGAAGCTCCTCCAGTCCAACCATGAACCTCACCCTGACCGTTCCCAACTCCACCAGATCCCTCAGCGCTGGGTCAGCCCGACTCTTCAACCCCTCCAGGGATGGGGACTCCCCCCTGCCCTGGGCAGCCCATTCCAACACCCAACAGCCCCTTCTGCAAAGAAATCCTTCCTCAGAGGCAGTCTGACCCTGCCCTGGGCAGCTTGAGGCCATTCCCTCTTGTCCTATCCTTATCTCAGCCAAGGTGCACCCATGGGTGTACCACCAGCAATGCTGGACAGGGAGGTGACCTGTCCCCTCCTGCCACCGCTTTCGAGGGTGCTGGGGACAGATGAGGGATGCTGGAGGGCACATAGCAGCAGTCAGCTCCCAAAGGCATGAGGGGGCAGATGAAGCACCTGGGGAGAGCAGCACACCTCACCCTACTGAATCAAAGAAACCACTCTAGGAAGGCAACAGATGTTCTTTATTGCGGCACCGGGTGCATGGGGGATCTCTCCACCTAACATGCGCACCTCTGCCTTTGTTCCTAGTGTTTATATGCTACTCATATATACATATTCATAGATTATTGCGAAACGCCTATACATATGCATGACCTTTCCCCGCTTCGTATTGAAATTAGGTCTCTTCCCCTTTACGCTTGCGCAGAACTTTATGAAGGTGGTCGTCGGGGGTCTTCGGAGAGGGATCTTCATCGCCACCTATAGTAACCTCATCTTCTTCATCATCACTGTGCTTGTCCGCTGGTTGACCTCTTAGCTGCGATTCTGCGCAGTGTTATCTTGGCTCGGGTTCTGGGCATTCCTTGCCCTATTTGGCAATAGTTGCAGCTGCTGGTCTTTACAGTTAGCACAGGATGTGGGGGAGTGGGGGTTTGTGCAAGCTAAGGCTTTTGTGGTTAATACAAAGAGGCACATGTTTGATTAGATACAGGATGTTCAACTACCTAAGCTAATAGATAACTAGGAAATGTAAAGTTCTTTGTTTTACTTAAAGCGATATAAAACTAGAAAATGTAAGGTTCCCAGTCCCGCATCACTACTAGCTGTGACCCCGCAGGGTGTCCCAGTCAGGATCAAACAAGGACCTCTAGTAACCCACCACAGGTCAGGTCTGAGTTCACCTTACCCGCAGTCCCAACGGTGTCAAACTACCATCCCAACCTTGGGATCAGGCTGGAAACTAACGGCCGTGAGGTCTTGCTAATACCATCGGCCCTAAGGTCCCCAGCAGTTTGGGACTGACAAACCCCTTCATAGCCGTCAGTCACCCCCGGGATGCCCTGGACCCTGGAGACTCGCCGTGCAGGGACACAGGGTTCGGCTGTCTCCAAGATGGGGGAAACGCTGGGGAGAAAGGATGGGGTGTGGGTGTGTCGGGAACCACCAGAGCTCGGGCTAAGGGAGGCCGAGAGAACCGGGCCTTCCCCCCAGGAACCACCCACACTCGCCCCACAGCGACTGCCAGGCCCTGGAGGATGGGGACCACGGAGACTGGTGGATGGGGACCTGCAGCGCACCATCTCTATGACAAACAGGGGGACCGCCAGGCCACCCCGGCCCCGCTACATCCCGGCATGCACCGCGCCCCTATATCCCAGCGTGCCCCGCACCGAAGGACCCCTCCCGCCCCTCCTACTAGGCCGTGCGGGCTGTCCGCGGCGCGCCTGCCCCAGCTCGGCCC